TATGATTCTGATGAATGGCGGCTATTTATAGATGGATCTGTCAAAAGCCTTAAGGGAGTGCTGCTCAATATTGGAAATATGCATCCCTCAATTCCCATAATTTATGCCACAGATGTTGAGGAAAATTATGAGAACTTTAAAACTATTTTAAGTTTAATTAATTATAATACACATCGCTGGGTCATATGCTGTGACCTAAAAATAGTAGAATTTTTAACAAGTTTGAAGAGGGGATTTTCAAAACATCAGTGCTTCATGTGCCTTTGGGAAGGACGACAACGTGAATAGCACTAAACAGACCACGAATGGGAGTCGCGTACAATATACCAGGTGGGACAAAATAGCATCAAACACATGCCACTCGTTCCTGCAGAAAAAATAATTCTTCCACCATTACACATAAAATTGGTATTAATTCGGAATTTTGTTCATGCTATACATTCCAATACTGCAGCTATGTTGCACATCAAGAAGGTGTTTCCGAAATTAAGCAGTTCTTATAAATAATTAACATATTGGTTTTAATTTTAATTACATTTTTATTACAGGCGTATTTAATGGACCCCAATTGACCAAATTACTAAAAAGTGCACAGTTCCCAAATCTCCTCACACCGGACGAAAAAAATGAATGGAATAACCTAAAAGATGTTATTGCTAATTTTTTGGGGAATCATAAATCTGAAAAATATAAGGAAATTGTTAGAAATTTGGTCGAAAGCTTTGGCGTAATCGGAGTGAAAATGTCACTGAAGATTCATTTTCTGGAAAACATTTCACCAAGATATTGCTACAGTAGAAAATCGATTTAAAGGAAAAAATACTATCCATATGCTATTACAATATTGTTGGACATTATGCCGTGACACAGAGGATCAACATAATAGACATTGTCGACGTATATATGTTTAATGTTTAAAATAAATATAAATAATAAATTTTATAAATTCACTTTACTATTTTTTAATATAAATAATAAATTTACAAAATATTTTCAACAAACATATTTTTCAATTTTAATATAACTTAACTTTTAACATTTTTTTACAAGAAACTAATAAAAATAAGAACATGAAATTTTGGAATCTGAAACTCCAAATTAGTAAATTTAACATATATTTTTTAAAAAAAAAATGTACTATTAAAAATAAGTATATTAAAGGATTAAAGTTTTAAAGGACATTTTTTTGATTTTTTTATTCTGAAATTTTAAAACTATTTTAATCGTAAAAATACTGTTATTCTCCTCTTTCAGTCGATACTCATATTGACCTACTAGACCAAACCGAATTTTAGCTAAAAATAATTATACTTACTCTTCCTTTCAAACTAAAGTCCTTTTAAAGGAAGAAACGATCAGAAAATAAAAAACCGAAAATGTAGTATAACTATATCAAGTGTGGAGTTTCCAACGTATATGGTCTTGATCATGTGTGCAACAATTTTTCCCAATTTGTTGTACGGTGTAATAGACTGAGTCGAATTTTTTGTGTTCGTTTTTTTTATTATAATTACTCGAGAAACCGCTAGAAAAACGAGGTGCAGATCATATTACGTTTAAATGAAGAATGTAATAAAAGAAAATCTTGTAGGTTGAGCCAAATATTTTTGTACTAAAAAATCGACTCAGCCGATTAAATCAGCTCTGTTATAAGCCGCCGATGAGCTAATAGTTTTGGCTCATGTGGCATATGATGATGCCATTGAATTTCGTCGCTGTTGTTGGCGGCATGGGGCAACAAAAGTCTCCGACTACTTCCGATGATGGTTTAGTTCACAGCAATTACTGAGGTGACACCAACTCAAACAAGCGATGCTCCTTAATTGGGTGGACCATGGTCCGGGATTTATTTCGAGTCCAGCACGAACCAACAGTATACGGCAATGTCGGAAGATGTTGTTCCGTTGGTAAAAATTATGTAGTTGGTGCACAGATAATAAATTGTTCCAAAAATAAAGATTTTATTGCCATTCACTCAAAGAAAAGTCGTGAAACTGGAGGTAGAAAGCGTAAAACATCAGCTCGTTTTGACCAATAGTTCGACTTTCTCTTTTATGTCATCAAAATAGCATTAAAAATGAATTGTATGCTCCAAAAAAAGGCCAAAAAAATATACAAAAAAAAAAAAAAAAAAAAAATGGGAATTTCCCAGATGACGTCTGTGTCGTAATAATGGAATAATGTACTGTGGTCAGACGAAACAAAGTTTAACTGCAGCTGACTACATAGAGATTCTACAGAATAAAATGCTTCCGTTTTCCAAGGAGGAAATCAGACTTAAATGGGAATTTACGCAAGATAATAATCCTAAGCATTACGTTAGAAGCGTCAAATTGTGGTTTCAACAGAATGAGGTATCTGTAATGGAGTGGCTGTCCCCAATGGCGGCCTTAAACCCCATTGAACACCTCTGGGGAGTCCTAAAAAATAAAATCGGCAACATCAAATAAAAAAAAAACAAGTAAGAAAGTATAGTCGGGCGTGGCCGACCATATGATACCCTACACCAGTTATGAATATAAAATGTGATTTATTTTTCATAATAAAGCATTTATCTTCAATATTCCCTTGTTCCGATACATTTAAGCAATTTATGGATGAAAAACTAATTTTCTGAAAGAGGCTTTATAAGAGGGCTAGGGGCAAATATGGACCAAGCCCGATAAAATTTTGTGAATATATATATATTTACATAATATTTTATTGTGCTGAATTTCATCGCGATATTTGTGTTTATAAGTTAATTTGGGACATTCAAGTAATTTTCTGAAGGGGACTTTATATGGGAGTTAGGGTCAAATGGTGCCCGATCTTTATGAAATTTGGCAGGGTCATCAAGACTTCTATAAAACTTAGTTGTGCCGTATTTTATCGATATATCTGTATATTTAACATAATTATGAGCTCAGAAGCCCTTTTCGGGGGGTTCTGTTCTATGGGGGCTAGGTGAAATAATGGACCGAATTTAAACATTTTTAATAGGCTTCGTCCTTGGGTCAAATAAAATGTGCGTGCCAAATTTCATCCAATTATCTTGAAAATTGCGACCTGTACCTTGCGCACAAGGTTTACATGGACAGCCAGCCAGACGGACGGACGGACGGACATAGCTTAATCGACTCAGAAAACGATTCTAAGCCGATTGGTATACTTTAAGGTGGGTCTAGGACGAATATTTTTGTATGTTACAAACATCAGCACAAATCCAATATACCCTCCCCACTAAAATGGTGTTGGGTATAATAAACATTATGAGCAAAACGTACTTATTTATTTCGCTATTTTATTAAGACAATCTCATCTAATATTGAAATCCTTGAAGATTCGAATTTTGCATTGCATAGATACTTTATACATGAATTTTAATTTAATAAATAGTTCTACGAATTAAGAAACTAAAAAGATATCTTCATATCGCAGGAACAAATCTTTCAGAATACGCAAAAAAAGAAATTTCCAATCTATAATACATACATACCCCTTAAAAGGCATTTTAAGGATTTATTTATTTTCAGAAAATCAATTGCGAATTTTAAACGATGGTAGGAATTATTGATAAAAAGTAAGAAATACACTATATTTTGATGCAACAGGATCCATTGTTAAACAAATATACAATCTCATCTAATAATGAAGTCCTTGAAGATTCGAATTTTACATTGCATAGATACTTTATACATGAATTTTAACTTATTAAATAGTGCAACGAATCAGGAAACTTAAAAAAACCTGCATATTGCAAAACCAAATCTTTCAGGACACTTAAAAAATGAAATTTCCAATCTATAATACATAACCCTTAAAAATAAAATTTCAAATCTATTTTCAGAAAACCAATTGCGAATTTTAAACGATGGTAGAGATTTATTCGTAAGTAGAAATACCATATTTTTTGATGCCACAGGATTTATAATAAAACATATAGGTTACGAATAACTAAAAATTCAAACCAAAAAGTGCCAATTCACACTAGGCAAAGTAGAAATACCCTATTTTTTGATGCCACAGGATTCATAGTAAAACAAAGTGGCCTCTGGTAGATTGGTAGTTAGTGTTCTAGTCTGGTAGACCGGAGGTGGTGGGTTCGATTCCTATTTCTTCGGATTTGATGTATATACATCCTCCTTTCAAACTAACTGACTAGTAAAACAAATAGACTGCGAAAAACTTAAAATTCAAACCAAAAAGTGCGGATCTGTAAGGGAGGAAATAAGAAAGAAATATAAGTTTCCCAGTGTTACCCGGAATTTAGACCCCTTTTATTTGGGAAACTTTTGATTTTGCGTGAGAGAGAAATTTCATTCATCTCTCTCGCGATACGAAATTTCTCGTTCTCGGAAACTTATTTTGTTTTGTTCTTCTCATTCTTACAAAAAACAAATCAATGACCTGGTCTACACTGGGAGAGATACTTTTTCTTAATTCTCTTTTGAAGTTTCCTTCAGGGTTCATCACAAAATCTCAACTGGATCTCAACTTTGGGCTGACCATTTAATCAATCAGAAATTTTGTCCGTGAAGCCATTTTCACGATTTCTGAGAAATAAATTAATTATATCTCAGAATAGGCGTTCTTATCTATGATGTCTCCGCCTTGACAAGAGAAATCAAAGTCAACATCGCAAGGAAACAGTAAATCACGATTATGGCATGAGATTGGTTTACAGTGTGCCACCTTGGACCAATGGAAATAATCGACGAAATATTGAGGAAAGAAGATATATTAGCGTGAGTGAGAGAGTATTTCAAATAGAAAAGGAAAAATGTATACAAAAAGGTGCCCTAAAAGTGCACAAATTACTAATATGCACTCACATTTGCTCGCCAGTGTATATGGATCCATGGTAAATTCTGACATCATCTAGATTTACAAGAACAAAACGAGAATTTTTGTTGTTCGCTATTAATAGTCATTTTTCTTATCTCCCTCCCTCCATTTAACTTTCACTGATAATATTATGCAATTTGATAAATATTAAAATAAGATTTTCACCACACTGATATTAGATAAATAATTACAAAATATTATATTTAAATAACTTAAACTAATAGTAAATATTATACAGCCTTCTTGATTTGTGTTCATAAGCCAATATTAAATTTAATTGTTAGTTTTTTGTCTATAACACTATAAAAATTTACTTTATAAATGATTACAGTATATGACTACATAATGACTACAGTTAGCATTTTAAAACTTGTGTAATAAAATAAATTCCAAAAATCAATAATAAGAATTTGAAATTTCCTTTAACATTTTCAGATGCACTGTGTTGAGCTGAAGATTCAGTGGGAACTGTTAAATTAGCTGGTTCACTGTAAGCTAAAGTGGGTACAGGTTCTGTTAATGAAGTTTTAAAGAAGTATTTTATTAGAGGAATTTAAATAATTTTTCTTAAACCTTTATTACCTGTTACTTGTGGTTCTACAAAGGCATTTGTTTCCCCAGCATAGGGAGATGAAGAGATATATTCTCCCTCATTTAACATATTCAAATCTTCTTCGGTAATGACATCAAAAATCCAACCTATATTTGGTATAATTGCGGTATAATATGCTTTAAAGGGTTTCTCCAGACAATCGGTTTTATTTTGCAAAGGCAAAATAGTTGATAATATACCCATTAATTTATTACCACAAACTAAACCGGTACCACGATCGCCATTGTAATTTTGCAAGGTTTCAACTGCCTGTGTTAATATGAAAATTTAATATGATTTAGATTTCCTTAATTTCTAGAAATACTTACATTACAATTGAAACCCGCTGGTAGATAATATAATGAACAAATATCATTTTCACGTTCATTGGGATATTGAGAAGTAGCTCCACATGCTTCAGAATCTAATAAGGGCAATTGTTCACTTTGTATATAATTTGGGGCGCCATTGAGAGACTGAAAAATGTTTTTAAATTTTTTATAATTATAATTAAAAATTTTTCTGACAAAGTTTTAAAATCTTTTTGACCCACTTGACCTTGAAAGTTTATTGACTTAAAAAAAGCACTTAACGTGTTTTTGTTTAAAAATAGTTATACGTTTTGTAATACTTTGTTTACAAAAGTCATAAAACTTCACTGAAACATTTTGTTTATTTTCCTATAATATAAAGATAAAAACAATTTGCACTTTTTCCACTTACATTTCGTACATAGAAATTCGCCAAACAAGAGCCCTCAAAATCCTCATCATCAGCTAAGGTAATCCAACTCATATCACTGCGTGTGTCTAGTGGTAATATACCCTTTAAGCGCAATACCGCCAAATCATTTTCACCTGTAGTATAATTGAAATTATCCGCCACAAAAATTTCGGCAACTTGTAAAATTAATTCTTCCCTAAATGTCGTCGAACTGCCACTAATAACACTAATCATGCTGGGAACAATGGGTATGACCGGACTATTGCTGTAGGAAAATTTATAATGAACACATGAAGCTGTGGTCAAAATCAAACGACTTTGAACAATCACGCCATTGCACAAATGTACGGGTGGTCCACGTGGATGCAAATGTACATAAAGCGATACTTGATAAGAAGGTTGATTGGCACTACACACCGCAGTCGAGCCGACAATTAATATTGCCAAAATTTTCAAAATATTTAAATTTAGACTCATATTGATCGCTTTCAATTGCGAAAGATTTTATTTTCCTTTTCAAATAGTTACACTTTTAAATTTCCGTTATTTTTTTTCTAGTTTTGAACCGTTTAGTTGGACTGTAGTAGAGCGTTTGAATAAAAACTTGCGTTAAACTTCATAATTATAGAACTAATATATGATCAAAACATTTCGTTGTTTGTTGCTTGTTTAATCTTAACTGACATTCAGAAGAACTTAAGTCTATTCGCTGAAAATACAAATCTACGAGTATTTACTTTTAGCCATGTTTTTCAAGTTCTGTGTTATCGCAGTTCAGACTGATAATCTTTTAAAACAATTCTGATAAATGTTACAGACAAATATTATTATTCGGAACTTCTCACTTCGGATATATGGTATACAATGATCTTCATTAGCTTTGAAACTACTAAAGTTATTATTCTTAAGATCTTGGAAAATGAACACTACGAAACCCCTGAAGGTTTAGAGGACCCTACGCATTAATGCATGAGACTTATTAAGAATTTTGTTGTTTAATAGGGTCGTTTATTGCCAATATATCGGTTCCGAACTATTCTTTGGTATTCAATAAGTATGTATATGGTAGAAAAAGATGAGATGTACCATTGGGAAACGATCAAAGAGAAATCACAAAAGCTGCTATCGCTTAGCCCCGATTAAGACCGATTTAGAGAACCGTACATATTAAAGCATAAGACTTATTAAGAATTTTGTTGTTTAATAGGAGTTCCGAACTATTCTTTGGTATTCAATAAGTATATGGTAGAAAAGGATGAGATCCACCACTGGGAAGCGATCGAAGGGAAATCACAAAAGCTGCTATCGCTTAGCCTCGGTTAAGACCCTTTAACTTGCGAATGTTTTGATTTTATGTGAGAGAAAAGAAGACCTGAACATCATTCTTCTCTCATCTCTCTATCACAAGTTATCTTGTCGAGTCTTCACCAGGGCGTAAGAATAATGTTCATCTCAGATACCACTATTTCATATGGGTTTTAGGAAGAAGACCAGAACACATATTGTGTAATTGCCTGTCAATAAGGTGCTGCATATATTCAACCTCTCTTGAACTAAATTTTTTATTTCCATCCTTAAGCTGAACCTGTTATGGTGAACCAACGGGCTTCACAAAAGATCCATAAAGGGTTCGTAGTGCTAGAGAACTACCTATACATATTTAAAATGTATTTGAAACACTTATTTCCTATCATTACTTCGATTTATATATATTTTAGATACCTTTATAGGTTATAAATGTATCTAAAATATATGTGCTTGTATAATTCCAACAATAGTAGGGCCTTCAACAGTCGAACTTTTACCAAAATATTTGTAAAGTTATTTTGTTATTTTTAAAACTTACTACAATTTATAACAAAATACTTTATATTTTCGGAAAAAAAGAGATGAATTATGATAAAAACAACTACTTAAAGGGATCTGATAAAGTAGCAGCATCTTTTTTTTTTAAAAGCTATAGATATGAGTAACACAACTGCGGAATAAGCAAATATTGATTTAGCAAAATGAAGGCACAAAAACGTCTACTATTTATTATCTTTAATAATAGTGAATTAGAAAACAACGAAAGAAAATCCGTAAAAATAATAATCTTTTACAGTCGTGTTGAAAAAAACACGTTTTTTCAGCGTTATAGTAACAATTACTATATTTTGAATTACTGATGTGATCAAAATCATGATGAGTTACTAATTTGTTGTTTTCTTATTGTTGTAAATAAAATAATTATTATAGTCATAATAATCTTGATAAATATTCTATAACTTAACGATATTTGTTCTCGTTTTTATTGTATTTTTTATTTGTTGCAAATTATAATGTTTATTATTAGTTTGTTTTATTCTCAAGGAACTTGCAGTCAAATGTGTGCTAGTTGGGGAATATGTGGTTATTGTAACAGCTATAACTATACAATTTACTTATCCGGGGGTTCTGTTATAATTTTGATGACTAAATATTATTCTACTACGATAGGATCCTGATCATATAAAATAACAATAGAGAATTTAATTTCTCGTCATATAATATAAAAATTTGCACTTTTCAACCACATTTCGAGCATAGAAATTGGCCCAATAAGAGTCCTCGTCAGCTAATGTAATCCAAGAAAAGTAGTCATCTTGTAGGCTTAAGTGCAATGAATCTCATGGGCCATGCTAACGGAGACAGCTCTGCTTGAGCTGGATGCCTCCTAGAGGTCACCCTTGTCAGACGGATCATGAGACGAGCACGAAACCAAGAACTACCCCTCCCACCCGGCAGACGTCTGTTTTCCATATTGGGCGGTTTGTCAGGAAACAGGGCTATCAACTGTCCGTTTAAGTCCCTCTGGATTCCCGCACTTAAGTGGGCATGTCCGAAAATCTATCAAGCTTCTGTTCCAGATTGGACGGCTTAATGGTCTGTTTGCTCCCAGTGGCACGGCAGTGTTTTAGTCTTGGCAGTAGGCCAAAAATGGTAGCCACAAGAGCAGCCTTTGCTGATTCAAAGTCTGTTCCATCCATGTCTTCGGGTGAGGCAGAAGTGTTTAAACCTGCTGCCGAGGTGCATAAATGGTAACGATCCGAAGAGGAGTCCCTTTCTTCTACGCCGAATGACCAGGCCTTTCAGTGAGGTAGCTATTGTTGACCGAAGCAACAGTGACGGAGCTATCTCCCACGAAAAATGGAGGACTATCCGTCAGAAGATGCTAGGCGTGTACTGGAAGATCCTAAATGATAATCCAGGGTCATATTAAGCTGCTACATATGTAGCTTGTTCGAATGAACGCTCTGCGATTTTGCTTAAGCTAGCTATTGAGTCCCTTGGGGAAGTGTAGCCAAGTGCAAGGCTGGACGTGATCTCGGTAAGCGAGATTCCTTGTAGACCGAGTTCAATTTCCACCATACCACCTAAGCCACATGACCCGGCAGAAATTCTAGCATTCCTTCAAAGCGGAAATCCTCATCTTCCTATCCATGATTGGAAGGTCTTGAAGGTTTCCTCCCCGATAGGAGCTGTCAGAAAGGCGACTATTGTCATGAATAAGGAAACTTTGGCGTCATTGCGTGAAAGTTTATTTCGGTTTCGATAGCATCTCCCTCCGCATTTATCGAAGTGAAGCCAAACGCAGTGTCGCCGTCTCTGGAGCTAAGCTGGAGGCTCCGCCCAAGGAGGAAAATGTTAATGCCGACGATGCCGCTGGTTCTGAAAGCCAAGAAGACTCTAGTCAACCACAGGTTTAATGGGTGATCTTCTTGGCAATTTGAAGTTGGCTGAGGATGGCGATAGTTCTCAGTATGTATGATCCTGATCTTGCCGAAGGTAACACAGATTAACCTTCACCATTCCAAGATAGCATCAGCTGGTTTGCTCCCCCGGATGGCTGAGAGATGGGTGGAACTTAACTTGGTTCAAGAACCGTAGACCCATCACGGTAAAATCCTTAGACTATCTCTCAGAGGCTATAAACTTCGGTATCCTAACTCTGCAGGTAATATTAAAAATATTAAAGCCTGTATTCTGGCCAAAAGGTATTTAGATAACTTCATCTTATCTGATTAAAGTGACGAGGATACGGTAGCGGATGTACTGAAGACCGGAAACTCCACCACAATGATGAAATTTAATTTTGCTCCTCACTGTTGCATAGTATTTTGTTACTTTTTGTAATACAAATTTGTAGAAATTTATGTATGTATGTAAATTGTAAATTTAATTTCACTGAAATTTCTGTTAAGTATAAATATTTGGATTATTTTGATTTTAAATAAATTTCCCAAACCATTAAAATTTATTGATGCTATTTAACCCTTAAATGCTCAGTTTAAAATGAAATAAATTCGTATTTACAAAAAAACATTTATCTTAGAAGATACACCGACATTCCTAAGGAAATTACATTTTAATAACGCTCATAAAAGAAACTAATTTTTTTATAATAATCTTACTTAGCAAAAGTTAAAAAAATGGAACATTTTAATAATTTATATATAATTTAAAGGTATATAGTTAAGAAGTAAGAGTGTTATATTCAGCTAAGCCGAATCTTATATATGTATCCATACGTATTCTTTCGAATTACATCGCTGTATTCGTCTTTTTAGTTCATTCAAGATTGTTTATATAGAATTTCATCGTTTTACTCGCCTTTCTATGGCCTTTCTATGTCAAGGTAATTTTCTGAACGGGGCCTTATATGGGGAGGTTAGTCACCAATCCATTCTGTATTACTTTCGATAGGAAGATTTACGTTCCTATAAATATTGATTAAGTCGAATTTATAAGTTCATACTTATACTCGTATTTTTAGGCCATTAATGGACATTAAATTCATTTTCTGATGGGCACCTTATATGGGTGGTAGTGTCAATTATGGACCGATCCTCCTAATATTTGTTTGATAGATATTGGCTTATATGAAACTTATTGGCGTCTAATTTCATCGCTATACTCGCATTAAAACAGTTATGACTGTTAAAGCTGTTTTTTCGGGAGGCCACTTGTATTGGGACTATGCGAAAACGTGGACCGATAAAGCCCAATTTCAATTCCAAACAATAATAGGAAATATTTGTGGAAAATTTCAACTCACTAGCTCTTTCCGTTCGGACTTTCAACAGACGCAAATGAAGACTCAGAATATATACATATGTATGTATCCTTTTGTGGGTCTATGACCAATATTTCAATGTGTTACAAACGGAATGACAAAATCAATATACATAGCCCCATATTTTTGATGGTGGATATAAAAACCACAGCATCATCGTGATCTTACAAGAACATTTACATATTTATGAGCTTAAAAGCCCTAATATAGACTGATTCAAAACAAAATGTCAAATTTTATCAAATTATCTTAAAAATTACGACCTGTAGAGTGCGCACAAGGTTTACATGGACACACACAGACAGACAGATGGACGGACGGACATAGCAAAATCGACTTGGAAGGTGATTCTGAGCAGATTGGTACACTTTAAGATACTTTAAGGTGTAGGACAAATATGTTTGGGTGTTAGAAACATCAGCACAAACGTATAACACCTTCCCCACTATAGTCGTGTAGGGTATAAATATCTACATAAAATTATCTAACCAAAAATTGTTTCTGAAGTTTA